AAAAACTTCCTAGTATTTTCGGACGATTGGCGGAATCCATTCCACCTCATTGGCGTCTAGCGTTGTGTCGATTACTGGTCGATAGGATAATGAAACCTGTAAAAGAGATGAAACCATAGTTTAAATATAGCAGCTGACATAGTATTTTGCGGTATTAACAGTTGTTGTACCAGTTGGTACGGTGTTGCAAAAAGAACAAAGTGCTGACGGCAAGGAAACGAAGCTGCCGGCCTAACCCATTCGCCCTGCTCTGTTGCCCTTCGATTCCATGTGTTATGCAAATGTTCCGTCTCTTGACTCGAGTTCCCCTTCCGTAATATTTGATGTGGTGATTAGAAATAAAGATTGTTTTGTGAAACAAAAGTTGTGCGGTTGCAGCTTCGAGCTGCTTCTCGGTTTTTTTTTTTCGTAATTTTTTTGATTCTGCGCTTTTTTACTAATAAAGAATTGTTTACTAGATTGAGTGTGTGCGCTTCCCGCAGCTCTACACCTCCGGCTGCGCAAATCTTCCTTAGAACGGCGCTGTGGGAAGCAGAACTGTTGTCGTGCAGCATATCGAGAGTCCGACTTTGCCGTTAGGACAACCAATCCCTCTATGATTCGCTCACCCGTTCCGATAGCAATTTGGTACTAACATGTGCCGGAGAGTCAAACCATTATTAGCTTTTTGATAGAGAAACAGTTAGAAGGGCCTTGCTACTAATCCATGCTGTTGGCAATTGCTACTTCTCGGGATGGTTCCGAGTCTCTCAACCGCTCATATAGTGTGAATACGGATGGGATTTTTAATTTCGAATAGTTCCTAGTTCGGATTCGTCTAGAAAAACCGATTCGTTTCTTAATGTTTGATTATTACTGATTCGCCTCGTTGAAGAATTGCTTTTGCTGGTATATTAGATGGCTACCACCTTGCCCCTCAAATAATTCTTAGGAGGAGTCATCGACGGCTCTGTCAGTAGCCGAATTTGTTAGAAATATTTCATTTCCCCTCACTGCGAACTTCTCGGTATCTTTGCAAGTTAAGCTTTTTGCAGCAAAACCGGCAAACCACCTTGATTCCATCCTAATTCAAGCGCTGAGTGGAAAGCCAAGTTGGATGTTGTTAAGCTTAAAAAGAGGGAATATTTTAATCAGAGCAGAAGTTAGAGGCCTTCATTTTAGCAAAGCTGCGAAAATCAGTCAGTAAGAAAGTAAGAACAATTAAAGTAGCAGTAAAGTGCGGTTCCAGAAACACTAACTTCTAGCAGAAACACTAACTTCTACTTCCCAAAACTGTTTTTTTTTCGTTAGTCTTCTCCGCCCTTCCTTCTCTCCCTCCCTGCTTTGCCATCGTTCACTTATAACAACTTCATAAATCAAATTTTTGCAAGTCGAACTCTGGGAGAATGAATTTTGTTCAAAATAATAAGCAAAAAAATCTAAGAATGCATACTTTTCCAGTTTCTGGATTTTGACTTATGATCGTATGCTTGCGCCAGTGTTGATCAAACGGCTTCTTCTTTTGCCCCTCGAGTGGGATCGAATAATCGAACTCATCCAAGCGTTGCTAAAAAGCCAGTAATAGCTAACTGTTCACAAAATTAACCCTAGATCTGGCGAATCTTTGACTGAAAATGGATTTGATGCTAAAAAATGAAAGGCTGAGCATCGAGACCAAAGACCACTGATGTCAACTCTCGACGTTACTAGGACGCGACCACACGTCTTGCTAGCAGCAAATGCCTAGGTTTCTTCTTGTCCTAGACTCACTGTCGTCAGTTTTTCCTTACCATTTCCATTTCTCGCGTACATTTCTCTTGGTGTGGTCGTTTTCCCTCGGCTCATCCGAGAGCTTGTTTCCTTTCTCTTTAAAACCATTCACTGCCTTGCTAAGAACTGCTATTTAGATACCTTGAAATCATCACGTGCATGAGCGCCCCGCGACTCTTTTCGTGCTTCTGCAGCAACAATCGTTTGCACCGCACAAAGCAGCAAATTTTGCAGTTCAAGCGTCTCGATGAGATCTGAATTCCAGATCAATCCACGGTCTGCCGTTTTCAGAAGTTTCTGCTCATTGAAGACTGCTTCCATCTTCTTAACGCCTTCCTACAAATGACAGCTCTGTCAAAGACAGATAATTAATTGAGGAAATTTTTACTTTTTTTCTATTTTTTTCAAAAGCGGTTTTCAAAATTTAATTTTAAATTCTGGTAAAATCTGTAAGAGTTTTGAAAGCGCGATCGAAGCATTTAATCGTTTTTTTCTCTTTGTAAAACCTGACAACCACTGATGTAGGAGCCGCGAGGAATAGCGAGGAAGGAATCAAAGGAAAAAAATTTCCTGCTGTTAAAAGAGAGTAAGAAACTAAGTCAAAGGAAACAAATTTACCTGTTGTAAAAGCCAAAATTTCCTATAACTATTTGCTTCGTCTTCTGACGAAAGAACAAATTGGTTAAACTGATTTTTCTTGCACACTAGATGGCGAACCAAATCACAAGAAAGGCGTATAAGGAATTGCCAAATTACCCTCTCTTTTCTACGTCGGAGAAGAACAAAAACGCTTTGGAAGCGATCCGGATAAAAGCGCTTTATCAGTAGCATCTTCTGGTAAGTTCGCTTTTTCAACGGTTGAAGACATCTTGATTTCGTGGTGTCCTACTAGAATGAAATACTTGAATATGACAGATATAAGTTGGGAACCTGTAAAATATCGCCGCGTCGGAAGACAGCCGCATGCCTTTGCATCGTTTTTTGCATTTTTAGGCGTAGCGCACCAGTCGGTATGTCACCTTTGGCGAATCGCATTTTGTCCAAATTTGCAACCGACTCTTCTCCAGCATTCCGTGGCAAATCTGGAAATGCCTCTCCAACTGCCTTCGACTGCTCCAGTATACTAAAAAATTTATTATGTTGGAGCACGTTCAACATTATGCCAAAATCCGTTTAAACTGTAGCGTTTTTATGCGTTTTTGCCGTGCAGCGCTAGAGCGCTGCAACAGGCAGCAAAGACGCGTATTGCAACGACCCTGTCAGTGTGTGTGTGTGTGTATGTGTGTGTGTGTATGTGCGTGTGTGTGTGTGTTCGCCTGTCCGGGTATTTCAACTCGCTAACCACACAAGCTTTGAAGCTGAAATTTTGCCAATGTGTTCCCCAGCCAGGTACCACCCCAGGACCGTGGTCCCAACCCTCACGCACGTCTGGCTCCCGCGTACGAGCACGTGAAGGTTTTGGCACGAAAATCGCTAACTCGGGAGCGAGAAAAGCTAGAAAGCTGAAACCTTGAGAGAATGTTCCCTACCCATGTATGACAGTAAGATTTCAAATTCAGCTGCCCAGGAGTGCCCGGGGCTACGCACGGGCACATGAAAACTATGGCAGGAAAATTCATAACTCGAGAATGAGAAAAGCTAGAAAGTTGAAACATTGGGGGAATGTTCCATACTCATG